TAAGCACCAATGAGTTGGCACATTAATTCATTGGTGGATTGGAACTCACAAAATCTTTATCCACCAATGAATTAATGTGCCAACTCATTGGTGCTTAGGATAAGATGAGCACCGGTGCTCATTAGATCATTTCTGTATATATATATATGCGACTTTGTTGTATATCTAGTTTGAGCATTACCTGAGATTTTAGAGCAATATTTATGTTTTAACTTGTTTGAAATATGTTATTTTTATACACTAGGTAAATGGCGGTTTGAAATCGAACCTAACCACACAAATTGGTTTGGTTTGGAAAATGAAACAGTTCGTTTTAGTTTGAAAATTTACCAAAGTAGTCCAAATTGAACTGTATTCATCCCTAGTATCTTGAGTTTTTTGAATTGGCTTAATTTGATTTTGTTTACTAAAAATTAGGTGAAAACGAGAAGAAAGTGATGGTTTTAAGTTGAAGAATAATATCAAACTTTTTGTTCATGTAGCATGATTGTTCACCAAAGTTGGTGTAGGCCTTTGAAGCTTGGGACTTAAGCTAGAGAAACTACATTTTACACGATGATAGAGCATTAGCCAATGAAAGAAATCATATCAAGAATCAAAACATCACACACCGCACAAGGGATGCTTTGCTATTTCACGCTCAGTCTAAATTATAGCCCTTGTTTGGGCTCCATTTTAAGAGATTTTTTGGAATAGTAATTTTTTTATAGAATGTATAGTTAAAAAATAAGGATAAATTTTGAGTTTACGTGTAATATTATTTTATGGAAGAATGTGTGGTATAAAATAAATTTTAAAAAGTAATGGAGCCCAAACAGGAACATAATAAAACGCTAACGTACGTACAGAAAGCAAATTGATTGCGAATTACTTAAAATAGATTGATTGGAGAGGTTTTCAACCACTTTAGATATCTAAATCACAATTTAGAATTATTTTATATCATGATAGGAGATGCTCCAAGTACAAGACTTGAAAAGGTGCAAGAGTTTAATATTGGATAAATGAAACAACCTTTGACATTGACGAATTTGTCAAAAGAAATTTCAATTTGGATACAAAAAATAAAGAATACTATCTTTTAAATAAATTTTCTTTCTAAGTAATGAAAACTTTTAGAAATATTTGAACTCTTTGATCCAACATTGTACCAATTATCAACATCCAAATTCAAGCAATGAAGAATGTGGAATATTGTTAGCTCCTGTTTGGTGGGGATTAAAACCATATTTTTAATAGATTTTGATAAAGGTTAATAAAATGTGTGATTGAAAAGTTGTGAGTCTCATAAAATATGTGATTAAAATTAATCGTTGAGTTTGACTTATACTTAAATTAAAATCTAGATTAAAATTTCTACCAAACAAGGGCTTAATGTAGAGTGCGTGAAAAAATGGAAATGTAGTTAAGCATGCTACTCGACTGAGAAATTCTCAATTACTTTTAGTTTAGCAAAATTAGTAGAAATTCCTTATAATTGATCCCAGCACATAATCGGGCGTATAAGCACATAAAACGAAGTCAATTCCCCTGATCCAGGGAGTCGACACGCATAATTTTTGTGATGAGCATTAGAATACCGTTGCTCTAGGGTGTCGACACCCCTACTTAAGGCAGGTAGTCCATACTGGAAGTACGTAAATAACGATTTATAGAGAACTCTATGGGCTTCTTTGGAAGTATGTAAATTATAATTTATGCAAAAAGTCCCACGAAATATAAAAATAAAAAGTATGTTGGGCTTAAAGTGATTATAATTTGTCAACTCCTAAACAAGCACTAAATTGAGATACTTAAAATACGTTAACTCAGCTTTTTAATGTTATATTATATACCTTGTCGAGATCTTCGTATCAAGTGAACACGTTATATGTTAATTCAACTTTCGAAGACCAAATAGTATCTTTTGAAAATAGGCATTTCAATTTCTCTATCTAAAATTAGTCTGTGTAATTTTATCTAGATTATTTATATTCTCTGTCTTCCTATCTTCACTTTTTTTGTTTGGTAAAAATAAACAGAATATATTCTTAGGGTGTGTTTGGAATACATTCTTTTGAAAGAATATATTATTGAATAGTAGATTGATGGAGAATGTGTGGTTAAAAATGAAGGAAAAGTTATTGATGTGATGGAAAATATTATTTTATTGAAGAATGTGTGGTTGAAAATGTGTAGAAGAATGAGAATATGTGGTTAAAAATAAAGGAAAATTTATTGATGTGATGAAAAATATTATTTTATTGAAAAATATGTGATTGAAAATGAGTAGAAGAATGAGAATGAAAAAAATAATGTATACCAAACAGGGGCTAAGAATGCTTAGATGGTTCAAACGTCATTGAAAAAGAAGAGAGAATTTGGTGACACGCTTTTGATTGTTGAGATCATACCATATCCTAGCATGAGATGGTAAAGATCACGATTAGGAGTGATTAAATTAAAATGTAAGCCTCAGTTTAGAAATAAATATAAACAATTTAATTTATAAATAAATAAAAATAAGTGGTGGATAAATAAACAGCATTTGTGGATTTATTGATCTTATCTATAAATTAGACAAATGGAGGCTAAGCGATTATCAGCACTGAATTATATGAAATGTATGAATAATAAATATGTAGTAGTTGTGAATCGTATAAAGAAAAAAAAACAAAAAATAAATAAATAAATAAATAAAATATATATATATATATAACTGTAAAATATTTTGAATGTAAATTCAAAATTTTTTTTATTACTTTTTATCCGCACACTATCCAAATAATCGTTATTCAAACCATCATTTTTTTTTTCTATTTTCTCTTTATAGTGACCATGAAACATGGGTTTACTTATTACTTTATAACTAACGCTTTGCCCATCATATACTTAGCATCTATTTAGTAGGAATTAAAATTTAAGTGAAAGTCAATTATTAATTTCAATAACATATTTTATGGGTTTCACAACTTTTTAACCACACATTCATTAGCTTCTAGCAAATTTTACTAAAAATTTGATTTTAATTCCCACTAAACAGGGGCTTAATAGGGTGTCAAGATCTAATCTACTTGGGGGTTTTTTTTTTTTTTTAAAAAAACTATTTTTGGGTGTCACCGTTTATGAAGTGTTGAAAAAATCAGTGATTGCTATTTTTTTTTCAACATCAATTATAGATGGTTTAAAAACCATCCAAAACCCGCGTAATATAATTTTAACTGATTCTCTTAACCCACTAATCATTGGGTTTTGTTCGTTTTTCATATTCTAATTTTACCCTCTACAAAATAATTATTCCAACCAATATATGTTCTTTAAAACAAATTTGTAAATAAAAATATATTCACTAAAAAAATATTTATAAGCAAAAAAATTATATTATAATTAAAAAAACACTTATAAGTAAAATGTTACTTATAAGATAAGAAAATTACATTATAATAAAAAAAATTACATATAAGAAAAAAAATCACTTTATGTAAAAAAAAAAAAAAATTGCTCATAAAATAAAAATACTACTAAAAAGATAAAAAAAAAAATCAGTTATGAAAATATAAAAAGTTACTTATAAGTAACAAATTCACTTAAAATTATTTAAACATATAAAATTAATATATAATATCCTTATAAGTAAAAAAATATTAACTTAAAATTTTAAGTAAATAAATCTTATTTAATTTTTAAAGTTAAAATTTAACTTCTATGTAAAAATTACCTATAAATAAAATATCATTTATGAGTAAAAAAATCCATATAAAAAATTATAAATTAAATTTTTTTTAAGAAACATATATGTAATTTTATTCTTTTTTTAAAAAAAATTCAAAACCAGTTGATAATAACTCAAATATAGGTTAGAAAATTTTAAGGGTTACTTTATATTTAGTGTCACCATGTCCTCCCAATTTGATTTTATTTCACCCAAGCTATCAAATTTCATATAACGTTTTACTATAGTCATTCAATTTCATATAACATTTCACCATGGTCGCTCAACTTCTTTTTTACTATTTTCATTAATTTACAAAGGGGTAACACGGTAATTTTGCATTATATATATAAACAAATTTAAAAAAAATTAAAATTATTTTAAAAATAAAATAAAATAAAAACTTATTTAAAAAAATTTAATTAAAACAATAAAAGAAAATAAAAACTTATTTTAAAAAAATTTAAATAAGTTTATATATATATATATATATATATTGCAAAGTTACTGTTTTACCCCTTTTAAAATTAAAGAAAATAGTAAAAAGAAGTTGAGGGATCATGGTGAAATATTATATGAAATTGGATGACTATAGTGAAACATTATATGAAATTCATTTTCCAAACTTTTTGATGGAAAAATGAATTCCAGCTTTTGGCCTTCTTTTATTATTTTTTTTTGTGGCAATGAAAATAAATTTAATAACTAAAAAAATTAAAAAAAAAAAAAAAAAAAAAAAAAAAAAATTTCACTTTAATGGACAATTTTCATGTAAAATAAAGTCAAACGTGAACAAAAAGAAAATTATATCAATCAATCACACTTATTTTATAAAAAAGAAAAAAAATGTAAAATGCCTTGACTCCTCTACACAAAGAGTCTCTTCGCGTATCGTCACAGCACACGATATTTACGCCGGCCCCTCTTATATTCTTTTCCTCTCAGTGCAGATAAACAAGAATGATTCCCCAAAAGCCAATTCAAAACCAAGCAAAAAATTCACTTCAAACGCTCCAAGAAACACCCCATTTCATTATCCTCTTCCTCCTTCTCTTTCCCTGAAATCAATCTTAGTTACATAGACACGAAGAATATCAAAGTGTGCCTTTTGTTTTTCTTGTATGAGAAATTTACTGCAGAACTAAAAAGGGAAAAAAATGGATTCTTTGCATCTTGATAACATAATTAACCGTTTGCTCGAGGTTAAAGGGAGGCCAGGGAAGCAAGTGCAGCTCTCAGAGTCAGAGATCAAGCAGCTTTGTTTGCAATCTAAAGAAATTTTCTTGCAACAGCCTAATCTGCTTGAGCTTGATGCACCCATCAAGATCTGTGGTAAATTTTTCTTGAATTATTTTTACTGAATTTCTAATTCATTTTGTGAAACTGGGTTTCTGTTTATTGGGTGGTTTTATGATGTTGGTTTAGTCAAATTGGAATTTTCTGTAGGGGATTTTATTTTTCTATGGACTTTCTTGATTTTTTTATGTATTTTATTTATTTATTTATTTTTATCTTATTTCTTGTTTTTGAATGGTTGACCTGATGTCGGTAGTGATCATCAGTTGTATGATTTAAATTGAGGAAGTCTAGTTATGTAAATTTAGTTCCAGAGGATTATGTAGGCTAATTGAAGTTGATGTTCTCCCAGTGGGGAGAGAGGTTTACATAAATTTCTCTAGTTTGAGAACGATGTAGATGCCGTTTCTGTGGGATTTGTGTTGTGTGGCAGCGACGTAATGGTCTTATTATTTGGAAAGATGTTGGTTGGCTTTAGTTAAGGAGGCTTTTGAAATTTTCGTCATACTGGAAGTGTTTGATGCAAGGCTTAATCAGGTGCAAAGTTTATGTAAAGAAAAAATGTTGTTTTGGAATTGATGCTAAGACCGGCTGTTGACTATATGTCAAAATCCCATTTTCACTCTGGGTGAACAAGAGCATTTTGGGGGCCCATGTGTGTGGGTTGGCAAAATGACGAGCTCACGGAATAATTATTGTGATTGTTGTGATTGCAAGCTCGCATAATGGAAGTCATAGAGGTGAAAAGTTAGGCTTATTTATGTGGGATACTTTACGATGATGGTATATTTTGTTTTGCTAAATATTTGTTGTTTCTACGTTTGCCCCGTCCTGCCTCATTCAGCCTGTTCAATATCATTTTTGTACAAGTGTATTTGATTTAGCTATTCATACCACAATTATGTGCTTTCTTTCCATTTTTTCATATGTTTGTTATGTTACTTTTATTTTGCTTAGATCCTCACATTTTATGGTTACCCACACTGTACCATGTCTCCTCCCATCTACTGTTTTCAAATTTTAAATTGGAATTTACGCCTATTCGGCACCTTAGCCAATAGTATAACAACTCAAAGTGCTTGCTTATTGTTAAGGGTGTGTCTGGTGGAGCTTTTTAAACCAAAAAAAGGAATTTTTGTACCGTTAATTTTTAAACTCAACAGCCATTGTTGACGCCATGTCTCACAGGTGGGAACCACAAGTTTAAAAAAAGGTAGCTTTTTTGCTCAAAATCCAATGAAAATTTCCAACAGACACACCCTAAGTTTTTTATGCTTTATGCCTAACTCATAATCTGGACACACTTTCTACACAATCCATCTTAAAGAAAAATTCATCAAGCACATTGAAGGTGCTTAAAAGTCTTGATTCTTGATATGCTACATCAATACTTTCTTTTTTTTAAGAAATTAAATCAAATTAGTGACTTTGAAAACCAGGCTGAGGTTGGGCCCAAGAGGCTGTGCCACAACTGCAGGTTTTTGTGAGTAAAGAAACATTGAGAGAACCAAAATCTTAGGTTTTGGTGGTTCTATGCCACAACTTCAAGTTTGTGTGAGTAAAGAAACATCAAGAGAACCAAAATGTTAGGTTTTGGTGGTTCTTTTTATTTTTGGGTGGGCTGTGGGTAGCTGAAAATTTTAATTCCTCAAGTTCTGTAATGCAAATTGTCCCAACTCAAATTGGGGACCGACATGAAATTGCGGTGAGTGGAATTAAGAATTAACTTGGCCTGGCTCTTTTGGGCCTATTGGTTAAAGAGGTTAAAATTTTCTACAGAGAAATGCACGTATTGGAGTTAGATGTACGAGAGGCACAAATATGTGACTCTGCTTGCTGTTACCCAGGTGGGCAGATTGATCCTGTTGCATGGCAGTGTGTTACCTAGTGGAAAGTAGTGAATTTAATTTCTGTGCGAGAGGGACTGGGCTGTCATCTTGCCACGACAAGGTGGAAAATAGTAAGCCAAGAGTCATATATTTGTTTGGGCGCACATTGGGAAAACCCATATATCACTAGTGGCTGGGAAATTTTTTTGAGCTGACTATTTTGTGCCAAGTGGTTATTGTCTTAAACCAAATACTTATTGAACCAATCATATCTGATGATCCCTTGGGACCTTGGGCATGTGAGGTCTTCTCCATTAATATTATATATGACAATGCAGATAAAGCTTGAATACCCATTTTTAAGAAGTTGGCTTGATAACTAAAAGTGAGTTTTTGAGGAGTGACTACTAAGATGTGATGAAAGGCAAGTAAGAAACTGCTTCTTTGCTGCGAATGGTAGCTTGATTTGAAAGGGATTATTTTGAAGGTTAATGACACCAAATATTTAGGTTTAGCATGGTGGCTTTTCATCTTTCTAATAGTACTTAATAGTTCAGATGTGATGAAAGGCAAGTAATTCAGCTCTGTTTTTTTTTTTTTTCCGTTGCTGTGATCAAGTTCAGTGATTGATAAAGCTTCAGTAAGAAACTGATTGGAATGGTTGAGTGTGTGGGAGAATCTTACTTAAATAGAATACCAGTTCTTTCATAGGATTGCGAATTCGAACAGGCGTAATAATTCTATCTCGCTGCTGGAGGTAGATGGGATTACTTATGAGGACCCACGGGTCATTGGAAACAAAATGGTGAGATTTTATCAAGATCTCTATCGGGAACAGTTTAAGTGGAGGCCAAAGTTGGAGGGACTGGAGTTTTCTACTATCACAGAGGAGGATGCTAGATGGTTAGAGAGACTGTTTGGGGAAGAGGAAATCAAGGAGGTGGTTTTCAGCATGAATGATGATAAGGC